CTGAGGCAGGTGGATCTCTGTGAGTTCGAGGCCAGCCTGGTCTATAGAGCCAGTTCCAGGACAGCCTCCAAAAAAAATACAGAGAAACCCTGTCTCGAAAAAAAAAGTATAGAGCAAGCCCACCTTCGGCGTATAGATTATGGGCAGCCCCTTGTTCTGGTTGTACTTTCATCTAGCTTTTTGCCCACTGCCGTGTTTTGGCAGACTGGTCCTATTTATTGGATACATTTGTCAGCCTCCCCTAAGAAGGTAGTGGCCCCTTACTATGATCTGATTTTACAATTGTTGTGGAAGGCGCACAAGTTTAGCATTCAAACCTTTGGAAACAGTCCTGACAAAATTACCCTTCCTTATGGTAAGGAGGAGGTGGAACATCTACAGATCTTCCATGATGGGTGGACCCTGTTTATTACATCTATAGGCACCCAGTTTGATAACCATTATCCCAATAGCCCCTTGATGTCTTTTTTTTAAACAACACCCTGTGAATTTCCCAAGATTTTAAAGGAGAACCCCCTAGTTGGAGCTCGCTCAGTCTTTACAGACGGCTCCTCCAAGGGTTTCTCAGTGGTGGTTTCTTCTCAGGTGCAGAAGAGGGTACCCATAGGGCAGAAGTCAGCACAAGCCGCCGAGTTGTTTGCTTGCTTGATGGCTTTCCAAATGTTTGAGGGAGAGCCCTTTAATTTATATACTGATAGTGTTTATGTTGCCAACATTGTCAGACCTTTAGAAACTTCTCCATATGTTCTTCCAACCTCCCAGGTTCATTCTTTATCAGTTCAGCTCCAACATCTTATTTGGCAGCGCATCCACCCTGCTTATGTGGGATTTATTCATGCACATACTAACCTTCCAGGACCCCTTGCCCAGGGCAATCAAATTGCTGACTCCTTGACCCACCCTAGGGTCTTATTTACTCAGGAGCAGCTGGCCCACCAGCTCCATGAGCGGTATCATCTAAATGCCCGCTCCATTAAATTTCACACTAGGTGCCCCTTATCCATAGCTACACAGATTACCTCTCAGGGCCCTGATTGTGCCCCTTATCATAATTCTCCCAATGAGGGGTTAAATCCCCGGGGCCTCAGGGCCAACCATCTCTGGCAAATGGATGTTACTCACCTGCCGCAGGCAGGGAAATTAAAATATATGCATGTCTTGGTGGATACGTATTCTAAACTGATTTTTGCCTCTCTCCACTCAGGAGAGAAGATTAAAGATGTTATTTCTCATTGTCTGCAGGCCTTTGCCTACATGGGCGTTCCCGATGCCCTAAAAACGGACAATGGCCCTGCCTATGCCAGCAATCGCTTTGCTGCCTTTTGCAGGGAACATCACATTGCCCATTCTTTTGGTATTCCTCACAACCCCACGGGACAGGCTATTGTGGAGCACACCCATGCCACTCTCAAACAATATTTTAAGAAAATTAAAAAGGGGGAGTATGCTACCTCCCCCAATATTCAGTTACCCACCATACTTTACATTTTAAATTTTTTGACTATAGACAGTAATAATTTGTCTGCTATGGAGAGACATTGGAACAAACCCTCCCAGTCCTTGGGATGGGTCAGATGGAAGGACTTAATTACAGGAAAATGGCAGCCACCCACCCCCCTATTAGCTAGGGTCCGAGGGGCTGTTTGTGTTTTCCCTCCAGGAAGTGAGAAGCCCATCTGGGTCCCCGAACGGTGCATCAGGCATGTCGACCCCAATACTACTCCGGATACTAGGAATGCTCACCATGATAAAGATGATCCAGCCATTGCTGAACACTCAGGTAAGGGAAGTATGGGCACTGGTGAGGATCCCCCCCCCCATGTTGATGCCAGTTAGTCATTCCAGCTCCCTGTTTATCAATTTTTATAGCACCAATAATACATTGGGAGCGGCTACTGCCAGTGAGAGATTAAAAAGTCAGAAACTAAACATTCTGAGTTTTTCCCCTCCTAAAGGGAAATCACTGTTTTATTAAAAAATATTTAATGTAGCTGGGCGTTGGTGGCACACTCCTTTAATCCCAGCACTCGGGAGGCAGAGGCAGGCGGATCACTGTGAGTTCGAGACCAGCCTGGTCTACCGAGCGAGTTCCAGCACAGCTTCCAAAGCCACAGGGAAACCCTGTCTTGAAAAACCAAAAAAAAAAAAAATTAATGTCTCCTAGATTAAATCTCCAGACCTTAGCCCAACAAAGGTCAGGAAAGAAAGGGGAACCTGAGAGATCACCCTCAGTGGGAGGGTGGATTGTGTAAATCTTAAAGCTTTTTTTGTTTGTTTGTTTTTAGAGACAGGGTTTCTCTGTGGCTTTGGAGGCTGTCCTGGAACTCGCTCTGTAGACCAGGCTGGTCTCGAACTCACAGGGATCCGCCTGCCTCTGCCTCCCGAGTGCTGGGATTAAAGGCGTGTGCCACCAACGCCCGGCTAATCTTAAAGCTTTTGCCTAAGGGAACATCCTGGGTTGGAGGATGGATTGAAATGGAGTGAATAGCCTTGCATCTACGGAGTTACAAGGAGTAGGTACGGCTGTACTCCATGACTGTAGCTCAAATGGAGGAATGATGAAGAGCATACAGGACTTTTTAACCTTTTTAGTTCAAGGATTGGCTGGAGTTGTTCTTTTACATAGATTTCAATTAAGGAAGCTTCATTTCAACAGACTAATCATGACTTAGGGAAAAAGGATGACTGAAAGATGCATGTATGTTCTGAATGTATGGTGTGGCCACACCGGTATGTATGAAATGTGATTGTGAATGCGTGAGTGTGAACTGCTTATATGATTAAAAGAATACTTAAATCCCTTCAAAAATAGTTAAAAAGCTACCTAGATTGCTTTAAATATAACCAAAAGGAACATCCAGCCAGTCTGTTAATGTTTTAACAGAAAAATTTAAGATGCAAATGAGGCCTTGTCTGCTAGTGAGAGCTCTACAGGTTAGATTGGGAAAGACTGTTCACAGACTTCAAATAATTTTCAAAGGTTATTTGGACACAGTATAGTTTACAATCTTTGAGTGATTTTCAGAACTTTTTTGGGAAATATTTAATGGATATGTCCCTTTTAAAGAGCATCTACTAATAATCTAGATAGTGATCCCAATTCACCTAGATAGTTAACCAAGGAGGGTAGACAAATCCTTCTACTGTTATGGCCCAGCTTCAACAGTTCAAAAAAATTTTAGAAAATAAAAAAGGGGAGTAATGTCCCCAGTTCCCACATGATTCATCAAATAATACACTCCTCATTTAAAAATTTTAAAATGTGAATGCCAGTGAGCAATCTGCTTCAGACAGATTCTGGCATGATGGAACTTGAGCAACTATTGCTCAGGTCAAATGGAGACATCCATATACTAGACAGTGGAGAAGACCCTAATTTGGGGTCAAGGGCATGTTTGTGTTTTCTTGCAGGAAAAGAATAAAGCTTCAGCAGCTGTCAGACCATTTGGTGAGATGCATGGAGCAGAGAAAAACTGGACCTGAGACCATGGGAGCCAGTTTGAGTGAGATCTCCTAAATCAGTGTTCCTGACCCTTGATGTCATCGAATCTACAGCCCAAGAAAGAAAGAAAACAGTCGGTTCGAGATTTCCAGTTTCTCAACAGACCTGCTGCATCAACCTTCCGGACCCGTGAGTTTTCATCCGGAAGCCAACAGAGAACTGGAAAGACTAATTGTCAACACCTTGAAACAACAGAATTCATTTTGCCAGCTTTTCCCTTCCGGGGAGAAAACGACCCATTTAAAACATTTGGACATTGGTATGGACTGTGATGAGCGGCAAAAGCCTCTTTTCAGTATTTGAACAGGACATGGTCACTTGAAATATCAGACTTGGTGGTTCCTGTTTCTGGAATCGCGCCTATGCCAGTGTATTTTTCTGGAAAAATGCAACTTGTCCTAATGAGACAAAAAGGAGACTTTGGCTCAAGTCACATTCAGCTGAGGCTACGGACGTTAAATCAACAAACTGCATCACCACAGGAACAAATTGGTGTTCTGTGGAAAGTGCAACAAACATCTTGTTCATGTTTTTTATAATGCTACATGTGTAACATCAATGATTGTACCTAATGTATCTATGCAAGTGCACTTTCTAAATGCTTTCCTGAGCAGATCTTAGAAGGATTGTAAACTTTATCACTGTTTTGACCATCAAATTGTAAATGTAAATCATATGCGGGTTACCCTTGTAACAGAATGTAAATCACGTGCGGGTTACCCTTGTAATAGACGAAGGCTGGTAGAATGTTATGGCCCAGATCTGGTGATGGGTACGGTGATGGAGAGGCGCTATGTCAATGGGGGTCCTGGAAATGGTGGCAGTGGCGGTAGGCATTCTGGCTTTATGCCAAGCTCAAACATGCCTTGTTCCAGAGGCAAGAGATCTGTAACCAAGTATTGCTTAGCTTAGCCCATGGCAATAGCCATGAAGGTTGGTTACAGATGATTTAAGGATGAGGTTATTCCATTGACGGGCAACCTGTGGGGAAGACCCCTCCCACCTAAGACAAGGGTTCAAGGTCCCCCGAAGACGGGCAAGGGAGGGTAACCCTACTTGACCTAAGCTAGGAGTGCCTCATTTGAAAATAAAAAGGGGTGAATTGTGGGGACACCAGACCTTGAGAAGAGACCCACTTCCCCATCGGCCTGGGAGTAGGCAGCTGTAAGACAATGTTTACTAAAAACAATACAGTGCCCAGGGCAATAAGCTCCTGGAAAGGGCCTGCCCACGGGAACCGCCTTGACCTCGACCTTGTCCAAAGACTAACCACCTCTTCTTACCCACCCAGATCAGTTTTTGGTGTCAGAGCAGAACCAGCCAGGGTAGAGGAGAGAGCAGAAGCTTCTCTGGAGGGAGCCTCTCTTGGGAAGTTTTCTTGAGCCTTTTTGGGGCCTACTTAAAGTTTTCTTTACATCGTTGAACGAGTCTCTGTGTTGTCAATCCCCGACACCCTCTGCACGTTCTCGGACCCAGGCTGCACAGCTGACGAGGCATGTACCAAAAAAAAGGGGGTTATTAATCATGTATACATCATAGGGGCACAGTGACAGAATACTCCAAGTACTTACTAGCATAGGAAAAACTTAGTATTGTTAGTGCCGGTCATGGTCACAGAAAGCATCTGGCACTGCATTTGGCACAGGAAGGAGACTCAGTAATCCCTGCCTTGCAGGCTGAAAGCCTGCCTTGGTGGTGCACACCTTTAATCCCAGCATTCAGGTCCAGGTTCCTGCCCTCACTGCTTCTGACGATGAACTGTTGAGATGGAACTCTAAGGACTTCCCCATCTTGCTTTTGGTCACGGTGTTTCATCGGAGCGGTAAGAACCCTAAGACAGAGGTCTAAGGCAAGAAACCCCATGGAGACGAGGAGCAGAACAGAAATGTAGAAGTGGGACCTTGGGTGTAGGGTGGGGAAGGGCGGGTTACATCAGGAGAACAGAGGCACAAGAAGTCTGGCATGGGACAGAAAGGAAAGAAAGGAGAAAACAGGGAGAACCGGAAGAGCCCACCCACGCCCCCCTCTGTCCTACACAGGGACATTCCTTAACTTAGTGCATCAGGACTAAGTACCTTGGGGAACTCATCCAGTACATGTCCACCACCTAGGAGAGCAAGCCTTGCATCCAAAGAGGGACACACATACAAAAGCCACTGCCTGGAGACCCTCTCTGAGTCTTTTTTTTTTTCAAGACAGGGTTTCTCTGTGACTTTGGAGGCTGTCCTGGAGCTCGCTTTGTAGATCAGGCTGGCCTCGAACTCACAGAGATCCGCCTGCCTCTGCCTCCCAAGTGCTGGGATTAAAGGCGTGTGCCACCAACGCCCGGCTCCCTCAGAGAGTCTTGAGGTCTTAGATTTGATCTCAGCAGAATGTGTTAAATGGTATTCATCTTGACAGACTGATCTCTTCAGGGTGGAAGTCGGTATGGCCTCTTCTCAACGACGCCATCTCAGATGCTGGTAGGGGGAAGAGGTACCTCAGTCATCCTAGAGACACACAACGTGGTCAAGTCAAGAGGTGTAAGTAGAACATATTTCATAAAAGTCTCCTGGCAATCTTCAGACAAGTCTGATCCTGTGGTATCCACGGGATCCTCAGTCACTCACTGCCTTGGCCTCACAGAGCAGATTCCAGAGCCCACCCAGCAAATCCACCATCTGCCAGCTTTACTGACACAGAAGGGAGCCCAGACCTTCTACATGCCCTGCCCTGCCCTGCCCTGCCCTGCCCTGCCCTTCGTTGGCCAAAGTCCTTGTCCTCTCAGAGGTGAATACCTAATCTTTCTGTGACTTCTTTGCTCTAAATGTTCTATTAGGAGGCTTTTGGTATCAGTTCATGTGAAATACATTTCAGATAACTACATATAAAGGAAGTAGGGTAGCACAGGGAACATTAGTAAAACCAGATTAGTATTCAGCCTCTTTTCAGGCTTTGGAGTTCACACTAAGGAGGAAAAAAAACATTTGGTTGCTCAAAGACCTCTCCATGACTAATGTATCACTTCAGGAGAAACACTTGGAAACTTAATGACAGTCCCTAGCTCTTCCTATGATCTTTCCTTCCCTTCCTTGCTTTTATAAATCTCTGGGGCTCTGTGTTCGGTTCCTCCAGCAAGAAATGTTTCAGGTTGCCACCCTCTGATAATTCCATGAGGGAATTTCCCTGATACTAACACAGTCTCAGGAATTACACAGAATTTATCTTGCCTTCAATTTACTCTACTTAGCCATGTCCTGCATGTACATAACTCCCACCAAGAGATGCAATAGCAGGTCCAGGTGCAAAGCTGCCCCCTTGTCGTACCCATTCCTCATCCTCTGCCCCATCTCCTTGCTCTCGGATCTCCACTGTGGCCCTCTCTGAAGACTTCTGGGCCATGATGTTGTCTGTCCAGGATGCTCCTGTCTTTCCATCACCAGCAAAATTACACTTGGTCACTGTCCCCAGCTCCAGTTTGGCTAAGGAATCTGAAAGAACAGAAGTTGAATGGCCTCTCTTCCTGTAGTGGACTAGCCGGGCTAAGGCAATCCATTGTGGTGGAGTCCTCTAAGTCTGGGTTGGCTCTGTTTTCTGGTGTGGCTACTAAGGTTCTTGGTGGGACCCCCAAAGCACTAGAAAGCAAGGGCCAGCCATAGGAAGCAAGGAATTGGATGGGATCCTGGGATATGGTGTGCCCAGGCTAATGGCCCCAGGGCGCTTGGCCACAGACTTAGGAGTAAAGCTCGATATCACAGGTCACATCCCTCTGGAAGGCCAGACCTGGCCTTCTCCCAGAGCTCTAAGCCACAGAGATGAGGAGCCTCTGAAGGGAGGCCAGGAGCTTCCCCAGCAGTGGCTCTTAACCTATGGCTCTCAGTCCTTTGGGGCTGCATATAAGATATCCTTCATACCAGATATTTACATAATTATCATAACAGCAAAATTATAGTTATGAAGCAGCAAATAATTTTATGGTTGGGGTCACCACGCCATGAGGAACTGTATTAAGGGGTCATGGCATTAGGAAGGTTGAGAACCACTGCCCTGTAGGAACAGGCAAAATGAATCACACTGCTCACCTATGAAGGGGCCATCACCCCGAGTTTTTAACCGCACTCCAGTCCCTAGCTCAAGTTCCATGACCTCCATCTCTGACTCAGGCATCCAGAATGCCACTGTCTGGTCTGGGGTGAGGCTCTCTGTCAGCTCCAGCAGCTCTGGCTTGTCTACCAGGCGTTTCAGCCCCTCCGGTGTGAGCCTGTCAGTGTCCCCCTTGGCTTCTGTCTCTGTAGAGCATACGGTGCAGCAGTGTTAGTGTGCCTGGAGAGGAAGCGTTCGCTGAGGGCATCCCTCCTGCCAGGGCTCGGCATTCAATTCCACGGTGGAGGTTTTATGACCTGGATGCTGGAGCCAGGCTACCCAGAGCAAATCTGGATTCTGCTGAAATTTGGGCAAATGAGCTTTCTCTTTGTCCCTAAGAATGGGTATAAAAATGGTGCCAATCTGACAATGCTGACATGCAGTACAGATGAGGGGGGGGGAAGTAGAGCGTTTAGCACAGTGTCTGGCCTGGAGCCAGCCCTCAGCAAGGGGCAAGGGTCTGTGGTTTTGGTATTCCCATCTCAGAGATGAGAAAAACCAAGACAGAGAGGAGGCAGCCTTCAAACACTTACAGTACAGGTCTGCCTTCCAACTGAGACTCTGTGGCCAGGCAGGGTTCCTTTGGGTTCTAGAACCAGCAGACAGCTTGTGGTCCCCACAGCCTCTGCTGGCCTACTCCAGGTTGGCCCTGGCAGAGCTCAGCAGCTCAGCAAGGAATCCAAGGTCTAACCCTGCAGGTGATGGGGCTCACAGGGCAGTAGCTGTCTGTAAGGTGCAGAGGCATGGTTACTCCGGCCCCCAGCAGGGTCTCCATGGCTTGTCCTACAGTTCTGCTGCCAGCACTTCCCTGCTGTGTGGGCCAAAACAAACCCTTCTCCTTTGATGCTGCCTCTGTCGGGGCATTTTGTCACAGCAACAAGAAAAGTCATTCATACTAAAAGTAACAAATACAAGGAGATCGAGAGCCAACAGCGAACATCTGGACAGGAGATCAGAGGCTGCTGGGACCTGACCTGGTCTCCACACACAAGGATAGAGCCCAAAGCCAAGTCTGTGGTAAATCCTGCCAGACTTCCCAATGGAAGCCGTTGGGAATACCAGCCTGGCTCCTGGGACTAAGGTGGGACACTGAGGGTTCTCTGAGTAAATGGGGGGGGGGGCAGGCAGGAAGGAATCCAACAGGGGGAAGCTCAAGCTGGAAACATCATCAAAGCCTCTTGTGCTGAGAAGCCACTTCCTGGGGGGGAACGGGAGGGGGTCATCAAGGGTCTCGGGAGACAAGCAGAACAGTCTAATGGCCTCTTGGGGAGGAAGCACCCAGGATACCTACTGTAAGATGACATGAGGAAGCCTGTGTTCACCTTCCTGGTGGCACTGAAGTTGGGCTCGATTTCATTTCCCTTGGGGTCAAACTTACGGCGGTGGATACAACTGGGCCGGATATACAGGACATAGTAGCGCTCCTGGGTGAAGCAAAGAAGGAGTGAGGAGACTACCTCATTCACCACCCCAGTTTGAGCACACACGTGTACACACACACACACACACACACACACACACACACACACACACACACACACACACACACACACACATACAGCCCAGGCTCTCCCTGCAGCCTCTGCCCACCTCGCCCTCCGTCTCAGAGTCCCATTATCCTACACTAACCCTATACTCTAGAGTTCCTGTCCGCATTTCGTGCCACACAAGCCATGGCAGGGCAACACAAGGCCTCCAAGGTTTCCACACAACCAATGACCAAAACCATAACCCAAATGCCACAAGGCAGGAGGGATGTTGCCAACATAGAAAGGACACTGAGGAGCCGGGCGTTGGTGGCACACGCCTTTAATCCCAGCACTCGGGAGGTAGAGGCAGGCAGATCTTTGTGAGTTCGAGACCAGCCTGGTCTATAAGAGCTAGTTCCAGGACTCCAGGACAGCCTCCAAGGCCACAGAGAAACCCTGTCTCGAAAAACCAAAAAAAAAAAAAAAAAAAAAAAAAAAAAAAAAGACACTGAGGACCTAAGGGGGGGGCAGTCACTCTGCTGCCCCCAGACTCAGTACTGGGGCAAATCACCCCACCCCTCCCATGCCTCAGTTTCCCCTATCACGTGGGAGCAGCACGATGCTCCCTTTCAGGGACATTAAGGGAACCAGTGACACCATGAAGGAGAAGGCAAAGCAAGAAATGGCTGAGAAGATACTGACCAGGTCACCTCATCAAAACAGGCACAGGAACAGTGCCCAAGAGGGAAGAAGCACATGGTCCTTTTGGGACAATCACGAAAGGTGAGTTCGCAAAGAGCAGCGCGACAGGCAGGCGTGGGACAAGGGCGTAGAAAGAGCACCAAAGCTGACACAGGCCTGAGGATGTCAGGCGCTTGTCTGGCGCATACCAAGCCCTGTGTTTGAACTCCGGTGCGGCATAAACCTGGTACGGCGGCACACACCTGTGATCCTAGCACTGTGGGGGAAGAGGCAGGAAGATCAGGAACTCAAGGTCATCCTCTGCCATGCAGCGAGTTCAAGAGGAGCCTGGACTATTTTTTGGATAAGACCCTATCGTGCCCCCCCCAAAAAACAACAAAAGCCTGAGCCAGTCAAGAGGCCATGTGCCCATCTGAGCAGGGAGGACCATTGAGACGCCCCTTGGTAGTCCAGGCCGGGAGCAGCTGAGATGGGTTTTGGATGGTCCTCAAATTGCCATTGGAAATTTGGATCTTCTTTGGTAAGTAAGAAGGAACCCTGGAAGGTTTGGGGGCAGCAACAATACGCCAGAGATGTCTTTCTGGAAATGAGTTAAGTAAGGATTAACTGAGGGCCACCAGATGGTAGGAAATCGGGAATAAGATTTAAGAGGAATAGCTAAGGGCCCTGTGGAGGGTGGCCATGGAGAGAGGAAGAGGATGGGAGAGAAAAGGAACATCGGGTAGGAACGAGGCTGCATGGGCACTGCCTGCCTGCGGAGGAGGAGAAAGATGAGGAGCAGGGAGGAGACGGGCTCAAAGGCCAGTGGCTGCCAGGGCTACTGCCCTGTGTGTCATCAGGGATAAGGGCAGAAGAGGCACGTTTGGAAAGGGTCTGTGTGAACACCTGCCTGTGCTGGGCCAGCTGAGGCAGGTCAGCGCCACACGGGGCAGCTCTCCTGGGCAGGCTGGGGGGCGGGGCTTCAGATGGATGTGCCCACCTACTGACCTGCAAGCTAAGGAGCAGAGTGTGGCAAGATCTCTGGGCATGAAAACGGTGAGCCAGTGACAGACTGCTGTCTGGAGTGCACGGAATACAAAAGCATAGACTGAAGCCCAGCATGGTGGCTCACACCTTTAATCCCAGCAGAGGCAGGTGGATCTCTGAGTTCAAGGCTAGCCTGGTCTACAGATTGAGTTCTAGGACAGCCAGGGCTATAGGGAAACCCTAACCCCCCCCCCAAAAAAAGAGCATAGGCTGAGTGTATAACCTGGCCTCCACCCATCTTGAGAAGACCCTACATTGATGCTAGCCTGAGGTTTTGAGACCAAGGACCAAGGAGACAGTGTGCTCAGCAAATCCAGAAGGGACTATCTGAGGGACGGCCGAGGTACAGAGCTAATGCTCAGGAAGGAGACACGGGCTGGCACAGGATGACCCTAGGAGTGGTCATGGACACCTGGTGTGTGGGCTGTAAACACAACCGGAGGAGCCTGCCAAGCAAAGACAGAAGGCCATCCACACAAGAGCTGCAGGCCCAGATGTCAGCGTATAGACTGTATTCAGGCTAGCTTGGCTTCGGGGCCTGGTCTGTTCTTTTGGTTGTAGCAGAGGCTCTCCCTGCACGAACCATGTAGTCCTTCCTGTCTGCGACACTAAAGGACCCTGCTAGGCTGTGACAATATGTTCCACGAGCTCCTCAGGACTGGCCTAGATCCCATGTCTTAACCCAGCACAACGGGATGTTAGTGGGTGAGTACCACCCAGGATGCAGCCTCACCTTCCTGCCATGGGCATCCGAGATGCTGTGCCTCGATACATCCACCAGCTCTCCCTCCAGCAAGACGCCATTTCCCCTGGGGGTGAGAAGGAAGGGAGGGAGGAAGGCCGGTTCTGTCAGTCCTCAGGAAGCCACACTAAGGTTTAGTGGCCTGGGTGAGAATTTGCATTAAAACAGAAGCAAGTCTCACCCTCACCCCAGACCCCATTCACCTGTCTCTGAGGGGGCCTGCTTTGAAATCACAGAGATCAACCTGCTTCTGCCTTCCAAGTGCTGGGATTAAGGTTGTGAGACATCATGCCTGGGTATTTTGTTGTTGTTTGTTTTGATGGGGGGGTGGTTTTGTGTGTGAGTGTGTGTGTCTGTGCAAATTTAGCATGTGTGTACTGGCACCTGTGGTGTTCAGGAGAGGGAGTCAAACCCTCAGAGCTTGACTTGCAGGCAGTGTTGAGCCCCTGGTGAGGGTGCTGGAAAGTGAACGTGGGTCCTCTGAAGAGTGTCAAGCCCTCTTCACTGGTGAGACATTTCCCCTACTTTAAAGACTTTCATGTTCCTGTTCCCATTCATGTCTACATGTTCTACAGCCAGAGAAATGGCTGTTGTCACCATACAGCTAGAAGATGAGAGACTCAGAAGTTTGGGGGGATTAGCTAAGATCACGGGGTACCACACAGAGTGATCAGAGTTGCCCTTTACCACGTGCAGATGATAGCATTCACAAAAGCAGAACCTGGGACCTGGGCTGTCTTTGGAAGCATCCACAGGAGGAAAGGGTGGGTCTTAGCAGACACTGGAAGAACATTGGGCCAAGACTCCTTGCCTTATATATTTTCTCCTCTCTAATTCTTTCTGAAAACATCTGACAAAGGCAGCCTATACTGAAGGCATTTAACGAGAAAGCTTGATATGTACACACATCGTAATGACTCCCACAATCCAATTATGCACACATTCGATCCTCAGAACCGCTTCACTGAAAACCTTATGAGCTGGGCTCTCGATTCCACTTCCTAGAGACACGATATCTGGCTTTCCGGGACTGGCTTCTTTCACAGAGTAACTGGGTGTTTCTGACTGTAAATGGAATTGCCCATCCCGCTTATTACCCTGCACAAGGCCTGTACCTCCTAACGCTCCCACCCCTCCACCGTTGTTCCCGCCACACCGCACACTGATGCCACATCATGACAAACTACTGGAGTTCAGATCCCTGGGGTGGGAACCGGGGCACCGCCTCTGGAGTTCCATTTGGGAGTCTGGATGGAGTCCCTCCGGTGGTATGAGTGTGGACAGCGGGAATTTCAAGTACATATCTGTCTTTCCCGGTGTGTGGTGCTCAGGGACACTGGGAAGAGCGGCCTGGAAACCAGACGTGGCCAGTTTTTTTCTCTCGCCTCCAACGCCCCCTTCCGCCCCAGATCAATCTCTGAACAGGAATCAGATTCTGAGTTCGACAGAGGCCTGGAGCTCAGGCCCAGGGATGCTCCCAGCCCACCCCTGGCTAGCAGTGTGGGTAAGCACAGCTCACGCCTGGCCAGCAGCCGGAGTGGGCGGAGCACAGCCTACCCCTGGTGGGCCGCGGGGTCCCAGGTCCCCGGCAGTCGCACGCTCTGCACCGCCTTGTTGCGGAGGACGCTGTCGTGGTAGATGCGGCTCATTTTCCCCGCGCCGAGGCCCAGCAGCTCCAGGAAGCAGCGGGAGCGCGGGGCGGGGCACCTCGGGGACAGGAGCCAGGAGGTCGTTGCAGGGAAGGCTTTCCCAGCCTGCAGATCCCGGAACCGTGCGGCCTGCCGGGGCGTTCCCAGGCTGGACTTAAAGGAGCCGAGCCGCATTCCGGACCTCCAGACCACGTGCAGTTGCAACCGGGCTTTCCGAATGACTACTGTCCTTCACGTCCTTGTAGTCTAAGAAAGATCGAGAGTTCGAGACCGAACTGTACTCTACAGAGACCCTGTCTCAAACAAAATTCACCAGTATACAAAGCGACAGCTGAGGCTCAGGAATTGTAGATCTTTCTTGGGATCGAGTCTAGGAGGATTTTTTCCCAGGGAGCAGGAAGGGAGAAAAGGGAGCAGCCGTGAGGAACCACAGAGTGGTGCGTACAGACGCTGCCCTTTCGGACCTTCCCGCGGCCCCGCAGCGACCTGAGGGAGTTCCGGGGATGCGTGAAGGAGTACGGATGGGAGTCAGATCTGCTGCAAGGCAAACCTGAAATCTCTGCCGTGTGAGCGCGGCAAGTTCCTCAACCTTTCTGAGCCCTCACTTCTTCCTCAGCAAAATGAAAGTGTCCGATGGTTTGCAAAGCTGGAACTCACCGGTTCCTAGTCTTTCCCTCCCACGCCTCCCAGATTCTGATGGATCGCTTCTCTAGTCCCAGTGTGTCCTCTGCTCAAGGGTGTCTGCAAGCCTTTTATTCTAAGCGCGCACCCAGGAGTCTCCTCTGACCTGGAAGTCATTGGGAAGCGGGCTTGTCTTTTTGGCTCCATTGTGCCAAACCCTGGAGCAGGTGGCCCCACATTCTGGGATGCCAGGTGCGCCCGCCGGGAGGTTGGGAGGATAGGGTGGGGTGGAGGGGGGGGGTGGACAATGGAGAAGTGGCCTGGCTGATACCGGAGAAACCGGATGAGATGTCAGTATTGGAAGAAGCTCTCTCTCCCACACTGTATGACCACACAGGGGTCTCAGCCACTCTGTGTGTGTGTGTGTGTGTGTGTGTGTGTGTGTGTGTGTGTGTGTGTGGTGTGTGTGTGTGTAATGTCAACAAAATTTTCAGTAAAAATAATTTTTAAAAAGTTTTATTTTTAGGCAGGGCGTTGGTGGCGCATGCCTTTAATCCCAGCACTTGGGAGGCAGAGGCAGGCAGATCTCTGTGAGTTCGAGACCAGCCTGGTCTACAAGAGCTAGTTCCAGGACAGCCTCCAAAGCCACAGAGAAACCCTGTCTCGAAAAAAAAAAAAAGTTTTACTTTTTAAGATTATGATTACATTTCTCTCTTCCTTTTCTTCCCTTCAAGCCCTGCTATATTCCCTTCCTTCTTGCTCTCTTTAAAATTCACGACCTTTTTTCATTGATTATTATTGTATGCAAGTAAGTGTATACACATATATTCCTAATATAACCTGCTCAGTATGTATATTGTTCCTATGTGTGTTTTCAGGACGGACCATTTGGTTTGGAAAACCAGTTGGTGATCTCTGCCCTGCTGAAGACTGCCCACTCCCAGCATGCCTGTTTCCTATAGTGCTTTTTTGTGTAGGGTTGAGGTCTCCTGGACTTTTTCTCAACCACTTAGGTTTGCCTGTTGGTATGGTCCATGTTTGGTTCACGTTTACGCAGTCATGTTAGTGAGAATTAATGGGTGTGAGTTCTGACATTACTAGGGAGGGGGACACAGTCTTACAACAAACTCCCTGGCCTTTTGGATCTTACAGTTTCCCTGGCCCTCTTCCTCTGTTCCCAGAGCCTTACATGCAGGGGTGTTTTGTAGCTGTGTGCACTGGGACTGTGCTCCGCCACTCTCTATTTTAATTGGTTGTTTTTCTGTAGTGGTTTCCATCTGTTGCAAAGAGAAGTATCCTTGATGAATAGCGAAGACTTCAGTTATCATGTAAATACAGCCAGGGAGGCCCCAGCTTGGAGCAGAAGAAACCAGCCACTGTGTTTTTAAGGGCCCTTTCTCATTTAACAAATTACAGATTTTTTTTTTTGTGTTTTTGTTTTTTTTTGTTTTTCGAGACAGGGTTTCTCTGTGACTTTGGAGGCTGTCCTGGAACTCGCTCTTGTAGACCAGGCTGGTCTCAAACTCACAGGAATCTGCCTGCTTCTGCCTCCTCAGTGCTGGGATTAAAGGCCTGCGCCACCACTGCCCAGCCTAAATCTTATTTTTTTTTTTTAAGACAGGGTTTCTCTGTGTAGCTCTGGCTGTCTTGGAACTAGCTCTTGTAGACCAGGCTGGTCTTAAACTCACAGGGATCTGCCTGCTTCTGCCTCCCCAGTGCTGGGGTTAAAGGCATGCGCCACCACGGCCAAGCCAGGCCAGCCTTTTTTTTTTTTTTAAGACTTCATTTTATATATCCCAGGCTGGCCTTGAACTCACTGTGTAGCCTAGGATGACTTCAAACTCCTTTCTCCCCACAATACCTGGCAATTGCTAGGATCGCAGATGTGAGCCGTCACCACACCTGGATTGTTCAGCACTGGGGGTTCAATCCAGAGCTTCATGCACATTAGGTCACTGGTCTGGTCCAACTGAGTCACACTCCCAGCTCTAGGAAAACAGTTCTAAGGATCCCTAAAAATATGATGGGCCCTCAGCATGGTGCCTGCCATTGGTCAGCCCCACCCCATGTCTGGCCTGTCAGGTGGCTCTTCATATCTCCCGGAAGGAGAGACAAAGATCCTCTGGGGAGGACTGCCCTTCTGTCTCTCAAAAGTTCTGGGCAGCGCAGAGGCACCAATGGGTCTCCCTTCTCTTTCTTCCCCTTCCTGGGCCTTTGTCCCTTCACTGTGGCTCTAAATTTGTACTGCCCTCTGAGGCAGCTACATGGAGCTATTTAAATTTTCTTTTAGCAGCGCTGAAAACAGAACCCAGGGTGTTTGTGCATACCAGACAAGTGTTCAACCACCAAGCTATTTAATATCATAGATATTAAACTCTAAGTGACATCACTTTGCTGAGCATAGTGGTTCATGCCTGTAACCCCAATGCCTTAGGGTACAGAGGAATTTAGTTCAGCCTGGGTCTTACTTCAGGTACCGGGCTGGCAGGGCTACAGGGTAAGACTCTGTCTCAAAACCCCGAAAATAATAATAAGAATTTAAAAAAGAATATCAGCACATTTAAATTCACTTCCTTGGCCACTAGTCATATACTTGGTGGTGTGGGGTTGTTTATTTTTGTTGGTGGTGGTTTCTGTTTTTGTTTTTTGTTTTTTGTTTTTTGAGACAGCATCTCACTATGTAGCATTGACCATCCTGGAACACATAGAGATCTGCCTGCCTCTTCCTCCTGAGTGCTGGGATTAAAGGCGTGCGCCACCATCGCCCCCCAGCTTGTAAAAACTTTTATAGATAAGGCAATTCTGCTACCATCAGTGAAGGCCACTACTTTTTTCTTTTTAACCGGGGATTCTCCTCTGATCCATGTCAGTGATGAGGGAGTGAAACCAAGTGAGACAGATGCCGTGAGGGTTAGTGGAACGGACACAGGTGGCCTGTCATTTATTCTTCTGATAGAGTTGCCATCAGTCATCTTGAACATGGATCCCCTACTTATCTGGTGCAGGACACAAAGCACATGACACCAAGGAGCCAAGCAGAGGTGGAAAGGAGCAGAGAAAGGTCACAGTAGAGACATGTTCTACAATGCTGGCACTGAGACGCTGTGTGCAACTGACATGAACAACGTAAGTCACAAGCCAGGAGGTGACGAGGGCATGGTGGAGCGTGCCTGACTCCAGACTTAGGAAGCTGAGGCAAGAGGGTTACTGCAGTTCAAAGTCAGCCTTAACTACACAGTGAGTTCCTGGATAGCCTGGGCTGCAGGATGAGACCCTACTTAAAGAAACAACAGGAACTGAAGAGATGGCTCAGTGGTTAAGAGTGCTGACTGTTCATCCAGAGCACCCAGGTTTGATTCCCGGCACCCATCGGAAAGCTCACAACTGGTTCTAATTTCAGTTCCAGGGGATATGACGCCCTCTTCTGGCCTCTATGGGTACTGAACAAGCATATGGTGCACAGACATATGTGTGAGCATAAAAATAAATCTTTTTTTAATATTAAAAAAAAGACCTAGAAGCTAATATGTAGAGATTTCTTCCAGTCAGCAGGCAGGTGAAATTGTAAATGATAGATTTGTTTATCATTAACTCTAGTCAAAAATCGAAATTCTCTCAGGAATGTTTTTTTTTCCTAAAGCAATGCACGTAATTACAAGCACACCAATCTCTTCCCCATCCCCTGAAGAAAATAGACTTTGTCAAGATCCCTGTTTGGAGCAAGACAGTAAAACACACAGGAGCGCACTCATGCATCGGGTGACAACTTAGCATATCTGACACATCTCATACCGAGGAAAGTCTGGTGGTTCCAGAAGAAATAGCATACTAAATTGCCGCCAATGCAGTGAAATAGCCTGGAGAAAACACACATGCACACCACGGAGCAAAACAGAGAAAACAAAGGAAGCACTCGGGAGAGGCAGCGTGCATAACATGAAATAAGATGCCAGAAGGAGGGCCAGGCCCATCCATCAACAGCCCATCAATAAATGTAAATGGAGGGAGCCTGCTCGGCAAAGAAAATCTATGACACGCCCTCGGATCAGACATCACTTAGTGTGGATTCCATGTCCCCACCTCACATGCCTCCAGGCCTGTCCTGTTCTCCACAGTGACCAACTGACAAAGAAACAACGCCATGCTCTCTGCTTACCGCATTGTATCCTACTGTTCCCTTGAGATGATTCTTCCGAGAGAGTCCCTGGAAAGCCAACTCTCAGAAGAGGATTGTAAAACTGACTGTTCATTCTCTGATGGCATCAGGGACACTGGTCCTGGTGGTGAGCGGGTGGTGATAACCCTCAGCATGATGTGGCTTCAAAATGTCTAAGGCTCAGGCAGTGTGGTGGTCTGAGTGAAAAGGGCCCCCATTAAACTCATAAGGAGCAGCATTTTTGAAAGGATTAGGACATGTGACCTTGTTGGCATAGGTGTGACCTTTATGGAGGAAGCGTGTCACCGGGAGTAGGCTTTGAGGTTTCAGAAGCTCAAACTGGGCCGAATCGTTCACTCTCTTCCTGGAACCTGTGGATCCAGATTAGAGCCCTCAGCTACTCCGTCTACCT